GTGCATAAATGCAACAAAGTTTCCCTCCCCTTCCATGTGGTTCTTGGTGTTTTTCACATCTGAGGTGCTATGAACAATTAGAAGTTATGATTTCTAAAAGAATCATGGTTGTAAGTATATTTGAAAGGTCATACATCTATGATGGAAGTAATGCCATGCTATTCTATTGTGCTTTATTGCTAATGTGCTTTCTATAATTTTCTATATTCAAATTTTGAAGTATATTCACCTGAGTTTAGTTAGTGAGATACTTTGTTATTTTCATTTCTTTCAGAACTGTCTTCCCATAGCACCAAAGGCCAAATGTCAGAGCAGGGCATAAAAGACCCTTTTCAGAAATCAGTAATGAGACTATATGGAAGCTGTGGCCTTGAAAATATACACTTAAGAAGTGACTGGGAGTGTGTGGATGAGTGTACGAAGCAGAAAGTATGTTCTGATGGTCTTACACATAGTTTGTCAACTTGCCATAGAAATATCTTCAAATGTTACAAATGTATAAAAGTCTTTAGCAAATCATCAAATCTAAATAGACACAAGACAAGACATACTGGAGAGAAAAGTTTCAATCTTAATGAATGTGGCAAAACTTTTCATCACAGCTCTAATGTTTCTGGACATAGGAAAATTCATACCAGAGAGAAATCCAACAAGTGTGAAGAATGTGGAAAATCCTTTAACCGTTGCTCAAAACTTATTATACATAGGAGAATTCACACTGGAGAGAAGCCCTACAAATGTGAAGAATGTGGCAAAGCCTTTAACCAGTCATCAACCCTTACTCAACATAAAAGGATCCATACTGGAGAGAAACCCTACAAATGTGATGAATGTGGCAAAGCCTTTACCTGGTGTTCAAAACTTAGCCTACATAAAAGAATTCATATGGGAATGAAACCATACAAATGTGAAGAATGTGGCAAAGCCTTTACCCATTCCTCAACACTTATGCAACATAAAACAATTCATAATGGAGAGAAACCCTACAAATGTGAAGAATGTGGCAAAGCCTTTAACCAGTGCTCAACCCTTATGCAACATAAAACAATTCATACTGGAGAGAAACCCTACAAATGTGAAGAATGTGGCAAAGCCTTTAACTGGTGCACAAGCCTTACTCTACATAAAAGGATTCATTCTGGAGAGAAACCCTACAAATGTGAAGAATGTGGCAAAGCCTTTACCCAGTGCACACACCTTACTCAACATAAAAGAATTCATACTGGAGAGAAACCCTACAAGTGTGAGGAATGTGGCAAAGCCTTTACCCTGGGCTCAACTCTCATGGAACATAAAAGAATTCATACAGGAGAGAAACCCTACAAATGTGACGAATGTTGCAAAGCCTCTACTCGGTGCACACACCTTACTCAACATAAGAGAATTCATACTGGAGAGAAACCGTACAAATGTGAGGAATGTGGCAAAGCGTTTACCCAGTCCTCAGCCCTTACTCAACAGGACACACTAAAAATTCACGTACTAGAGAAACAACCCATAACAATGTTAGAATGTGGCAAGCCTTTTACTGGCTCAGTAGACCTTCACTCTACATAAAGTTAACTCCACAGAGCACTAAAGTCGAAGGAGAGAAACCATACAAATGTGAGAGAATGTGGGCCAGAGCACTTCCAGTGCTACCCCTCTATATTACAGTATCAAATAATGCATAACAGAGAAAATGTTCTAGGAATGTTGAGAATTGTGGCCAAAGTCCCTTTATAACGCTCACATCTTATCAACACAATAAATATTACTAGATAAAAGTGCGGATCCACAACTAATTGA